AAAAAATTAATTACAATTCTAAGAGCACACAAAACGTTTTCGAAAACTTATTGTTGAAAGTGATTTTCAATTCTGCATAGTGAATTCACGTCATTCATAAGTTATGAAAACTCTGATCCATGTTTTGTGTAACGAGCTGAGTCGAGTTAGGCCAGTTGGTCTATACAGTTGCCTGACTGTAATTAACTCCGAATTTTTTAAATATCGACCTGACATTTTGCACAACTTCATTTCTCTCCAAAAAAAAATGCTCATTTTTCGGAATCGTGTTTATCGAACAACCGCAGCATTTAGCTGCCATACAAGCTCGCTGACCAAAATCAAGATGCAAATCTTTTTATATCCTTTTGTGCTATACACCAGTGAAGGGTTTTATAGCTTCGGCGCAGTCGAAGTTAACGTTTTCACTTGTTTTTACATAGTTCGATCTAATTTCGTTATGAAATCGATATAAGGTGGCCAAGTAAATGAATAAAATTCAATTTCAACACTTAAAATAATGAATTCCAAAATTTTTTTTTATAAAATTGTGTATATAAATATTTAAATAAGTCCGTCGGTATAACATCTGCTGTTGAAATTTTTACTTTTCAGTGTGATTTATTGCGTTTATTATTTTTACTTTAATTACTGCTATTTTATTTGCACGCGATAGCCAATTGCGAAAGAGAAGAAAACATGCGCCTCAAATTACAAAAGAAAATCATTCATTCAAAAGCGCGCCACCAACACTGCCACCAATAAACAAACAAGCAAACAAACAATGGAAAATGCATAAATAAAAGACGAGAAGAGCGATAGAAATTATTATAAGGGGTAAAAGAAACCATAACAAGAGCATTTGTTTATCCACAATGGCCAATTGTAGCTGCAACGCTGCACCTATGGTTGTGGCAACACAAACGGCAAACCACAACAACAACAACAACAGCGATAGCAACTCGTGCAACAATTGTGTGAAGCAGGTGAAATATTTGGAATATCTTCCGGGTGATTGCACGGTGGTATGCCGCGCATGCGCGCAATCAAGTGATGCGACGGCAGCAAAACCAACACAAGCACACACCAACAACGTCACACAACTTTTACAACTTTTTATGTAAGTGTGTGTGCTGCCGGCGCCCGTTAAACACTAATAGCGTTTAATAGTCCACCATTAGTTGGCGCACACGACTGAGCTTCTGATAGTTTTTGCGCCGTTTATGCACACATACACACATACACACATACATACGAACATATGGAGTTTTGATTGCTTTCCGCAGATGCCATAAAGCGTATGTGTTTCAAATGCTGCAATTAAAGTTAGCGCTGCTCCATATTTCTTGCGGTTTTTCGATAAAAAAGACAGGCCCCTCGTGCCCCATTTAAGGCAGCCTATATTTACTTGGACTGTTTTTGGCGTGTGGGTGGGTGGAGACACATTTACACACATTTTTACTTAACAACATTGCCAGTTTTTGCATTTACTTAAATGTGATTTTTTTTGTTAAGTGAGTAGAGTAAGGCATGTACAGATTTATCCGAAAGCTTTTGTATTTGACTTTCTTGTTAACAAATTTTCGCAAACAGGTACATTCAGAGGATGCTAGTAGTGTTCGACGTGACAGGAAAATTTAGCGCCAGAGGAAAATATCTGTATTACCTTACTATATTGGACTTGAGAAACAGTACGCCTACGCACTAAACCCTTAATTCCGTCATCTGTAGGGTTGTGGTAAGGTCCTGCGAAAACGCGATAATCGTTACTCGCGGCTCTCGCTGCATTGCTTCTTTATTATTTTGCTTTTCTTAGCTCTTACAGTATCAGAGCTGTCGTCCTTTTCATCACATACCATAATTGTCTCGTTTTCGGCAAATAAGGTACCATATTATCGGGTGTTATTCGATCTGCCACTTCCATCTCCAGATCCTGCCGCTCTGTTGTAAATGCCGGGCAGTGAAAAAATATGTGCTCTGCATTTTCCTTACTTCAAACACAGAAAAAGCAAGGAGCTATATTCTCATGACCGTACCAATGCAGTTACTCTCTGAAACATCAGGGTGATGTAAGAAAATACAACATGAAAAGTCTATCAGGTCGTGCTTTCGTTTCAATTTCGATTAGTTGGTGCGTAAATCTTCCCTTTTATGTTAATTAGTATGAGTTGGTGATCAACGACTTTGATTAACACTTTAAGTCTCCAATAAATTGGTGGCCACGAAAGCGTTGTAATTAAAGCAGAAGTGTTTAGGGGAGTCTATTTGAACACAAGCACTAGTATTTGTTGGACACAAAGCATTCAGTGAAAATTACGAAGTCGTCAGAGCGTTTTCTTATTTGAGTCGTCCATCACCACTCTAAAGAAAAAACTGCTTAAACACCATTGTGCTGACAGTCGAAAGATAACAGCGAATCTTGGCATATCCTATGTATCGACTCAAAACATTCGGTTAATCTTTTCTATATGAATCGGGTCAATGCTAGACTTTTAGAAAAATATCAAAATGTTTTAGAAAAATGACGATGGGTAGATGTCGCAAAAGAAAACATAGCTGAATCCTCTTTATTCAGTAAACGCAGCCTTACATCCTTACAGGTGCAGGACGTGGGTTCACGAATATGATGACGAAAGTATCCAACAATTTAGCTAATACCGCTACAAAAATGAGCTCGAAGAAACCAAAATGTTGGAGGTGATAAAAAAAAATTTTATCAATATTCGAGAAAATATAGTTTCTTTGTCAGTCCGTTTCAAATTTGATCAGGTGTTAATTTTAAAATTTAGGGACCACGAAGTGCTTCTAAAGTCTTATATTAAGATATCATATTTGTTTTTTTAACTATAGCTTAGAAAAATTACTCAGTGATCACTGTTCAGGTGAGACATTGATTAGAGAAAACAAGAAATGATATGCATGTCCTTACATAATTTGTTTCTGAACAAAATTTCGTTTCTCTTAATGAGACTTATTTAAATAAAGTTCACTCGTTGAAAAATTTGACTTCTAATAATAATATGCTTTAAAAATGATCAGGAACTTCAAACAAACAAGTAACTACATCTATACCGGAAGCCCAATGTAGAATAAAAGCTGGTAGGTGCTCCTTTGGATTCTGTGAAAAATCGAGAATAAATATCAAAATTAAAGGCAATTATACATGAAAACGAGATCTAAGGAATGAAGGTACTCAATCAGTCCCAGATGTTCAATATTGAAACAATAGTGCTCTTATTCCCATTTTATTAATAATAAGATCGAGGTACTTATTCTTGCTAGTCCATCAACTTTACAGTTCACAGTAATTCCACTATGATCAAGAATTCGTGTGAGATTTATCAAGAAAAAGCTCGATGCAAACTTTTTTCAAATGATGGATTCACTGACGGCTACTTTCGCTCTGTTGTTAGAGCAATAATGCTTATGTCCTTGGTAGAGGCTATTCTTTCCAACCTACTCCAGTCTACCCACACTTCTCTCAATGGAATATTGTAAAGGAGAAACTAACCTTTATTAGCTTGTCAACGGAGAGACCTAAATAACCCGAACTGAAATGGAGTCCTTGAAAGCCACTATATTTAAATGGAACACAACGAAATGGACATATTCATTCATTGGATATCTGAGGTTTAATGCCGGAAGGTGTGTTTTGCAAACACTTGATGATTCTTATTACGAAAAACTTTCAGCGAATATCATTACAAAAAAGGCAACAACGGTTGACTTTCGAAAGCAATAATCGATTTACATATAGCATGTATAAATATCATTCAATCTACATTTATGGTACAGTTATTGCTGCGTGAATTCATAAGGCAATGCAAATTAGTTTTTTGTGCTATTTGCTTATTTTCCTTTTATTTTTCACCTCGCTGGCGGCTTCCTTTTGCTTTTCCGGTGTACAATGTGTGTAGGCAAGGAAATCGAACACACATTAATTTCTATTAATGGTTGCATTGTTTTTGTTTTCTATAATTCGATTCATGCACCATCTTCGCATGTTCATTTCCATTGGCGGAAGGAAATAAATCGTGCAAGCGGTGAGCTTTGGTAAAGCTACCTACTTCTCTTTCTTCGTTTTCAATTTACAAAGTCACTCAAGTCATACATTGCTTTTATGCTTTAACGCTTATTATTCGATTATTCGGGTGTATTATTCAACATTTACAAATACAATTACATGCGCAATTTGTTTGATAATTACTTGGTTAAGTATGTACTTAATGGAGTAATTACATAGTTAGTTTATGATATTAATCAAATACTGAGGCAAATGGTGGTGGTATCGGGTGGCAAAATGGGCCGCATTCGATTTGCTCTTTGAGACAGATTTGCAGACTTCATGATGCGTTTTTCGAAGTCTAGATACTGTAAAACTCAGAAAGTAATCATTTCATATTCACGCTTGCTTTTTACTCACACAGTCTCGAAAGGACTGCAGAACGGTTGGTGGCCTGATGACAGGTCACAACATACTGGAATTATATGCGAGCCGGAATGCTTTGACAAGAATCGTAGAAGTCAAGTCGCTTTTAAAGTCCGTAAAAAGTGTTAACGTCCTGTATGATGAATCTACTCCGTTATTAGCGTAGACACTGATTACGCGTTTAAATTCGAGTTAACATCAGTGTGCCAATCATTCTTCCTTCTCGCTGCTTGGTGCCAATGAGATTATAAGTATAGAGGAATGGAGGTGACTGGGGAGTGTTTTCATCCATACGGACGACCTTGCCTAGCTAACTTAGCACCTATCTCTTAATTCGCCGAAGTATGTCATTATAGTCTATATATATGTATATGTATTATTATAGAACTTGATCTTTTTCGTCGAGAGATGTGTAGAAGTTCACTTAAGTGATCAAAGTTTTCTAAGCACCAATTCTGGCCAAAAATGTTTTGTTTTTACATATGACTCAAGCAGCTCACGACCGCCGATCCAAGACTAAGTTTCTCTGAGTAGCAAAAAAAAATCCATTAGAAGGTGATCCAAAGTGAGAATATTACTTACCATAATTCGCTTCTGACTCGTTTGGCAATCGTATTTATTTATTTATTAAAGATTTTGGTTTTACATACTTATAAACTTAGTGATATATTTATATACTATATAGTGTATATATAATATGTAAATGGAAGTATATAAAATTTTATTTTTATATATCTCTAATCACTCTATTCTCCACTTTACGAATTATCGGGTAAATTACTGAGAAACTCATTTCTGGACTGGTCAATTAGTTGCTGGTACCAGATGCCATTCACGAATGCTGCGCTCTCTGGAACTTTGGTCAATGGAGTAGGTTGCTCCGTGGCAATATGTGCACTGCCAGCTGTGGCAGCCAATAGAGGCGCTTTGGTTGAGAATGCAACCTTTGTCTTATTCGACGCACTTTTCTCGAGCTCCTGAACATTTACAAATTTTTCCGAATTATTAACTTTGGCCTCATTATATTTGATCTGCTGCTGATTCTGCTTACTTTCATGACCTGTTGGACTGCTTGCGTTTTTAGGCATCGCTTTGTCACCACTTACACCGAGTCCACCCAACATTGGTGGCAATATAAAAGGGCCAATTGGAAAATTGGTTGGTAGAAAGTCATGCACCGACTCAAAGCCAATGTGCGTCTCTGCTTTAGCCGGCTTCATCTGCAACGGCACTTTGCCGTCAATAATATCCTGTATGGCCAAATCTCCCATGACATCTTCCGCATGCGTACCGGCATTCACATCAATGGCGTGTTGTTCATTGAGCGCGTTTGCCAAAGGCTCTGGCACTTTACTATTCGTCACATTCAAGTGTAGGTCCTTATCATACACCACAGCATCGGTGGGCATGTCCTGTGGCCTTTGCATGAGTATGCTTGGCCGCTTAGTGGGCCAATGCGCTTTCCATTGCTGGCTGTCGCCTGACTCGAACGTGCGCGTCTCGTGCAGAAAGCCGCGTTCATTGTCCGAGAGGAAATGTGTGACAATGACACGCCCATCGGGGCGCACGTGCCCAAAGGAGCCCTCCACACTGCCGTTCACATAGCGTCGCTCGTCGCGAAACTGTATGTTGCCGATACGATTGTCGTTAACCTCAAAGCCAAATGCATATGTGTTGGCGCCTTAAAGTAAAAAGGGAAATTTGCAAAGTTAAACAACACTGTTGTGTAGCAAAGCTTTGTATTAATGTAAATGTTACGCACCATAGGGATCGCGTCGAAAGTAAGAGCTTGTGTCCGGGTTGCCACCAGATTTCTTTATAGCCTGTGCCTTGGCGTAAGTAAAGCTACGGTCTGTTGTTGGCGCCGCTTCAGTGTAGTGTGTTTTTAGGCATAACAGCAAAAGCTGTGAGAAGTAAAAATGATAAATGTATGAAAGATGATTTTTTAGGCTATACTTGTATGTACCATATTTTATATTATATTAAAGAAAAATATTGAGGTATGTAATTGCTATTTTCGTTTCTATTAATCTGATCATTTTCGCCTGTTCAACTCATACTATTTTTCAAATTCATTATTTTTGCAATAGATGCCTTTAGTATTCTGTACATATCTCGTGTTATATTACTACTATTGGATTATATAATATAATACGACATCAGAAAGATGGCCAAACAAATTTCTTAGGCATTTTATTGAATGCTTGACAAAGTATTGTTTGAACATGCCTCAAATATAGACACCAGCAAACGGAAATTCTCCATATTTTGTATTTTTTCTTCGATGAATGTGAAAATACAAATTCCTCATCGGCCAATTTGCTGATTCAACATAAACTTTGCAGCGGTTGGTTACTAGTGATTCAAAGTGACTCACTAATCGATCGCGATGAGACGACGTAACTTAGTATGTGTTTGGCGGAAAATCGTCTGGTTCCCTGCAGCAGTACCCCAGAAGTTACCAACTTGAGCCAATACGAAATAAATTCAGTTGCATCAGGACTACAGCACGCCAGAAGCATCGTGAGCGTGGAAGGGACTTTTTTAATCATCCAACTTAGAGTTGTAGTATCTATTCCTGCAATTTGCCAGGACCAAAGTCAGGGTAGTACCTTAAGGACCGCCACATTTCACATTAGGTTTGTTGGATTAACGATAATAATAAAGATACGCTGTTAGGAGTAAAATACGCTCGCTCATTTCCACTGCGATAACTCACATATTGGCCGATTTATGCGGTATAAAGCCGATTCAATCCTTTTTTGACTCACGGGCATGTAATTGTCAGAAAAGGATTATTCATAATTAAATAATTTAACAAACTTATAATATTTCAAAATTAGAACTTTGATTTTTCTTTCCCATTTTGTCAGAGGTCTGTGCTACAAATCATTTTAAGATTCTAAACCGTTAAATCCTTAAAAATTAGTTTTTCCTCGGAAATGAGGTAAACAGTTTGGTTTCGGTATCTTTATTTTTGAATTCTAAAGCGAAATAAGGTGGGGACTCAAAATAATGATGAAATGTTGAGTTTTCTAAAAGTTAATTTTTTACTGGGATCTTTTATTTAACTGATATCAGACGTTTAGAATAAATACAATTAATGTTTCATGATTTTCAAACCAAGGTCCCAAATTAACACGATTAAAAATAAAAACTAAATTGTTTCACTTAAAGAATTACTGTGAAGTCATAGCAGTCTCAACTAATAACTTATTAATATTGGGAAGGAATTAAAAGCAAATAAAAAAAAATTAGAAAACACGATTAAACACTCTGTAGATCTGTCATAACTGTCATCCATATATGTCGAATTCTTGGTTTTTGAGAATCAACGATTAACAGTCAGAGATCTTACTGGTATCGTTGGAGGATCGGAAGAAACAGTGAAAACCATTCTGAAAGATGATTTGAGCATAAGAAAAGTGAAAGCACGATTGGTACCAAAACCAGTCAATGCTTTCCGACTACTATTATTACTGGCGATACAATAGATGATCAATCGACCGAATATCGTTGCAAAGATGAGCCGTAGCCACAAAAACACGTTAAAGCAGGTCAAAATTCAAGGTTATGTTGACATTTTTCTTCGATTATGGAGGTGTGGTGTAATCCGAATTCTTTCTGACTGGCCAAACTGTTAACAAGGAATACTATTTGAGTGATAAACGTCGTTTGCTCGAAGCTATTCGCAAATAGAGGCTGTTATTATGCGCCGACAGCTCTTGCATCACGATAATGCACTGTCGCATACTTCACTGATTGTTGCTGAGTTTTCGAAAAATTTTTAAACAATTTCCTAAATCCTGCCTAAACCAATATACTCCTCTGATTGAGCTCCGTTTTGAAGATTGTTGCCAAGGGGAATTACTTTGAGGGGGACGATATGGACTTTGAAGAACAAATTAAGAACTCTAAAATTATTTTACTATTTTTTGCTCATGGTGGTATATACTTTTAACGGAATTACAAATTAATTATTTTATTGTTTTTATTCTCGTTTACTTTAATTTATTAATAACCACAACTTTTACTTATATACTTTACTTATATAAGTACTTATGTGATTACACACACGGCTCATCATGGAGTACAAAAACACAATTCTTTCGCTTTGGTCATTGACTTTCACATAAATGATTAGTATTTCAAAAATTAAACATTTGCACATGCGCACATTGTACACCCAATTACACTTGTATTGTTTTCATTTTCTAAACACTTACAACAACAACAACAGCAAAGCGGATTTGTACGCGCTTGCTTAGTTCATAGGCGGACATTTTGCGAATATTAATTGACTTCAAGACACAGCAGCAGAGACTTCAACTCGGAAATATTACGCGCCCACGCGCACTTGTGAAGAATCGAAGAAATTCTATTTATCTAATCAGGGGCTTGTTGGGCAAGCAAAGCCATGCAAAAACCACTTTCGAACTCGACGATGAGCCAACTCGTACTGAGCGCTGGCCTACCGCCGGCCAATGTTCTAACGCCAAGAAGTGAAGAAGCTCCCTGCCGCTGCAAAGACAATAGAACAAGCGCACGCAGTTTGAGTTTGTCTTTGCTTTTGCCTCTTCTTTGCTTTCTTCATTTGCATATCCGTCGTATGGCGGTGTGTATGTGTGCGTGTTGGCTGGCAATTAGGTGTGAAGCTCAAATTAATTTGTTCATTGAAATCGATTGACTCTAATGCTGCAGTGGCTTGCATTTTCTTACAACATTTTCGCCACACTTTGCTAATTAACAGTTAAAAATAAATGTTAATAGTAAATTTGTAAAGCCTGTCGCAAATTCAATTACAAACACAATGTAATTATTAATTAAAAATAATTAACATAACCATAATATTGTTACAGAAATTTTCAGAGAGGAATATGGTTTGTTTATGCTTTTCATAAGTAAGACTCGTAAAAATAGCCTCTTTAAACCTCGTTACCCTACACAATATAGTCGTGTTTGTATTGTGATTTTCTCATATTTACTTTTTCAGTGTTTATTCTTTAATAAATTGCTTAGACTATAACAAGACTTTTACTATACAGTTATATTTGGGTTGCAGGCTTCTAAAGTACAGCCTTGCAACTATATCAGATCCATCAGTTTATCTTTAATTAATTTAAATTTTTTAATTGCTAAATATTTTATTTCATCAATATTTATTTTGTCGCCTTCAAAGTAATCCCCACCAGATGTAATATATTTATGCCAGCGACTTTTCCAGTCTTCGAAACAATAAACCCTTTTTATGATGGTCTTCAGCTTCCTCAGCGAAATTTGTTTTATCTCTTCCATCGACTGAAAATGGATGCCGTGAAGCGGCAATTACAGTTTGTTTGCATGTTAAACTCACAAATCCGTGTCTCATCGGCATTTGTAATGCTCTCGATGAATGTTAGATCAGAATTCGCACGAAAAAAGAGACCTATTTACTATACCCTTTTTGAAAAAATGTCAGCTTTACCGCAACAAATCTACAAAAATTCTTCCATTCCCAAAATTGTCATGAAAATCATTTGAAAGGACTCCAGAGAAATGTCCTCAATTCTTTTAATATAGGCATCAGTTGAAGAGGTCGTCCAGAACGAGGCATGCCTTCAATGATCTCTCGACCGTTTTTGTAGGCTTTGTAACAATCGTAGGCTCGTGTTTTTGAGAAAACTGAAGCACCGTAAGCCTCTTCTAACATTCACAATGATTCCGCACACAAAATGTGGTTAGAAATACAAAATTTCAGACATATTCTTTCTTCAATATTTTTGTACATTGTGAAATAAAATTAAAATTAGCAACCCACTACTGAGGTGTACCGATATAAGCAGCTACTGTACAACCAACTTAGCAAAACAAATTTCTTCGAAATATTATTTACCTGGAGAATTTAAATTACAATTTCCGGGTAATCTGTTATCACAACGCATAGTACTCTACGCTATGGCCTACAGTTTTGAAAAAACAAAAAAAAAAATTTTTTTTGGATAAATTTTTCAAATTTTTTAATTTTGTAAATTGTTAATTATAAAATTTTTTCTTGAAAATTCTCCCTGCGTATTCTAAAAATATCTATAAATATTTGTCTAAATCAAGTCACCTGGAAACTAATTGTGCCCGTTAAGAATGTTGTAATTTTTAGATCCAAAGTTAATTTTGCTAAAAGTATTGTAGATAGAAAAATTCATTATGAAAAATTTGAATTTTTCAACCAAATTACATATGGATTTTTGTTAAACCATTTCAATTCATTACTTTTCGCCAAAAACAACTTAATCAGAACCAACATTTGACATATCCCCACATACTAACATAACCTAATGAGTGGAAGAGTTATGAGGAAACGGAATTCATTCATTGATGATAGTTGTAATATCTATGACATAAACAGTTTACATGTCACTGGAAACCAAATATATTGCATTAAGTTCACATAGTAAACATAAAATGCACTCGAGATGATTCACAAGTATATTTGTATGGGCATGCTATTTGCATCACAGCTATGAGAGCAGTATATATACATATATGACAGCACAGTCAGATTTATGCTATGCTAGTTGAAATTCACTCTCACGCCTTTCATTATCTACGTGCGGAAGCGAAAAAAGAGTTATTTGGAAGCGGGAGCTTTACTGAGTGAAAGAGAGTATAAGTAGAAAAGCATAGTTTAACTGTCACTGGAAAATAAGAATTAGAAACAGTATATAGTTAGTTTTCGATTGCGGAGTTTAAATTCCATTTGCAATTTCGTGTCGAAAAAAAGTATTTAAATTTTTTTAATATATATATAAATTTGTAAACTTTTATTACAAAAAAATAGCGCTGCTCGCCATGAATTATTAAAATGAAAACAAGGTGGTAATTGCATAAAGTTGGGAAGAGATAAAAGAGTGACGTATTATATTTAGAACTCTGAAAATTTTTTTATATCTAGATAGAAAGTTATTACCGTAATATTCACACCACAAGACAATCAGGTTCATTGTTATATCCACTCTTTCAAACAATTGTCAGTTAGTAGTAACATATGAAGTAAGTATATATGAGCAAGCAATATTAGGAGCGTCTTACAAAGCATAAATCGCTTATAAAACTACAAATGAATACCGCTATAATTTGTGAGAAATGAGTTGATAGTATGAGTGACACTGTAATGTCACTGTAATTTCAAACATCAAACGGTTACTACTTTTGTCAAATTGTCGACTACTGCCACGCCATTTCCGGTGACCCCTAGGAAAAGAGATGCGCCAGCGTTGGCAGGATAACTCCTTACAGGATCATCTAAAGTGAAAAATACGTGTTTCAGTTCAAACCTCAGAACATGGACGGAGAAAAAACCGAAAATTGAATTTTTGCAGACATTTTACCCAAAAAACTTAAATTTTAGTGAAAATTTGGGGAAAATTTTTTTCTTCAATTAGTTGTAATCGAAAAAAAAAAATCTTTCGTACAAATCTTTAAGAATTGTATCTCAAAGTAGATCAGTTAGGAAGTTAAGTAGTTCTCGACAAATCTTGCCAACCGACTTCAAGAAAAACAGTCTCGAGAAAAATGCGTTTAAAGATTTGAGTGCCAATAAAGGGGCTCAGAAGCTCTCAAGGCAGTATCTCCAAAACTATTACTCACATCAACTTGAAAATTTAGGACAATACTCTAGAGGATCTAATAAGATAAAAAAATTGATTTTTTGAAGCCCGAAAACTCATGTAACCCCGTAAGTTTTCCTAAGCTGGTATGTCATCAACAATTAAGTTTTGTTCTCTCGATATATTAACATTAAAAGTGTATTTGAACTTCGTATTATTTTTGTTTCATAACTAAGTGAAACATATTTTCAGCGCAGGACTTAAAAACTCACAATTTTGGAATTTTTTAAGGTTAGATATTTTGGAGCAAACATTTAATTAAATAAATTTCAAGTGAAACGTTTAAAAAAGAGTAGAGTTAAGGAAAGTAGCCTTTTTTCGAAACTCATTTCAGATTAGCCTAAGATTTTTTTGCACTATTCTATTATATTTTACCACCTATCACATATGAAATAATATCCAATAACCACAAAAGTCGCTTAAAAGTTCAATTATTGTTCAAAAAATTTTACTCTCTTTTTAGAATTTTCGTATTCTTACAGGGTTTGTTTTTAAAAAATTCTGAAAAGTACTCTCTCCATAAAAAGCAAAATGTCAAAATTAAACAAAATATTTAGGGTTTTAAACAAGTTTTTTATTTTGTTTTCTTATACAATTCATCTGTGTATATATTCTATTATTTTTGTTATGTATAAATGTATTATTTACATGTACATTTTTTCGTTTTTTTTTCTTTGCCGTTATTTGAAAATATTTTACATTAAATTACATTGCAGACATTTTATACAAAAAAAAAAAAACACAAAACTAACGTAGGTACAGCACAATAATGTATGTATTGTTGTTGTAGATGGTCGGAGAACATTGTCGGCCGCTTGGCTATGGCCACAAAGCTGTCACAAACACTCATGCAAACATATACAAAATTCATAAAGTACATATGTAAAATGTGTGTTGGTTTCCATTGCTTCATAAATGATTATAATTAAATTTAAGATTAAAAAAACACAATTAAAATACAAATACATAAAAAACACATGTCAATATAATACAAAAGAGCGCTTATGAATGACACAAAATGTGAGAGTACGACAAGTTGAGAGAATTCGAGTGTGAATGAGGTGTTTTCAGAGAAAACGTATGAGAGAGTGTATGAGAGAAATACGAGTATTTGAAAACAGGCCATTCATAAAAGTTACGAAAATGACGACACAGGTGAAATTGTAAGCATTAGATTTACTGTAAACAGCTTTCAGAGTTTGTAAGCAAGTGTAAGTAAGCTAAAGATACCTTGATTAAATTGATATAAAAGATATCATTAAATGCAAATGACAAGATTGAAGACAAGTGTTGGGTTAATGAGAGGCGATAGCGTGAAAAGGAGAGAGAGGGAGAGAGGGTAGAGAGCGTGCGAGAGGCACCTCAATTTTTAATGCACTATGACCGGCTCCATATATTGGCAATGAATTGCAATTAAAGGATTTTTTTCTTTTTTTTTTCTGTGCTTTCCATGACAGTGTAAAGTGAAGTTTATAAATAAGAGGGTTATTACTGCAAACGAGACAGACAGAGCAAATGAGTGAGTGTATACTCATATGCTAGTTGCTTAGTGAGAAATATACTCAAACAGTTTGAGTGTTTTCGAATTTGTACTCAAAAATTTTGAGCACTTTTTTTTTCAAAAACCTAGCTGATGGCACTTTTTTTGCGCTCTCTGAGTCACAAAATCTTATACACTATTGTGGCAACTTCAAACAAGTTCTGTAATATTATAAACCGAAAAAAGGTTGAAACAACCACATTTTTAACTAAAGAGCGCTAAACAGTTGCAAGAGAGTGCATAAATATTTTACAAAAGTAGTACTGAAAGATACTAAAGACGTTTTAGGTAGCTTTTGAGGGAGAGTGGTTATTTCAACTTTTTTAAACGGAAATGTTGCTTGAGCTTCAATCATTTAAAAAAATTACAGAATTTTGAGCGTAAAACTACTCCGCTCCCTTGTAGAAAAACGAATGCTCTAAATTATAAACTTCACTCTTGAGTAGAAAAAAGAGAAAACATTTTAATAAGAAAAGAAGTGTTCAGAGAAATATTAAGAGTTGGAAAGTAATGTAAGAAAGGGCAAGTGTATGTTTTGTGCGTAAAAAAGTACGATCCCACATTACATAATATGAATGATGTTCTCCATTTTCGTCTACTATTACTACAACTACTCCTTCTTCAACTTTGTGTTCGTCTATAACTACAAAATTATCTGTTTAATATAAAATATAATATAACTGTATACGATAAGCATGTGTTAAGCCACAAAGAGTGAGTGAGAGACAGAGAGAGAGACAAAGTATTTTTCCATTTGTTTGTTCTATTCTCCTGGTATTTGCGTCATTTAATCATCTTTATTGCTATCCTTCTCATTTGAATGAATCCTTTTCTGCTGATTGCTCGGCGATCGTTTCGTTGTACTAAAATCGCTAATTACAAGTAAGTATTTTATTCGTTAAATGCAAGTACTCGCTAACTGTAACGAGTAAATAGTTTGAGTGAGTCAATGAGTATGTGAGTGGGTAAGTGTATGTGCAAGAGTGTTGCAGGGCTGAGTAGCGTTTGAAGTTGAAAAGTTGGCATTCCTCACTTGTAAGATCGTCTTTTGTTCACGCCTAAATTATATATGTGTCACGGCCAGCTTTACAATCACATCGAAATTGCTCCACAAGACAAAACGATCTCATTTCTCGCACAACCAACTTCAAATCCTTTACACGCTCTCTAGCCCTTAATCAGCGCATTTAATAATGATGCAGCAGTGGTGCGTGTGCCAAGACGGGTGCGTGTGCCAACACTGGTGCATGAGCTACCAATTTCGGTGCGGTCTTGTGCACGACAGCGTTGAAACCGTTATGATCATCGGCAGTGTAGTCGACGGTACGCACTGAGCCATCGGGTTCGACCAGCGAGTATTGGCCCTTGACTACGTCGCCATCACGCTCTTCGGCTTGCGACTTGATATCGCCGGTGTGTGGATCCTTAATGCCGTAGTTGAAAGAGTATTTCGGGTATGCCTATACAGAAAACAATGAAAATGCCGTTACCATTAGTTGCTTGAATAATCAGAATAATCTATTTTTACAAATTGATATGCGTGGACAACTTACAACAGGTTCAGCATGCACAGCGTGTGCCAAGACTGGCGCATGCGCTAAAATCGGTGCGGGATAATGGCCGTATTCTACGGGTACTGCTTGTGCGGCAGCGATGAGGAGAGCAATGGCAATGAAATACTGTAAAGAAGAAGAGTGTTTGTTTTAATGAATACCAAAACTATTTTGGAGAAATATAATATTTAAAACATTTTTATAAATCTAAATTTTTTTTATAATTGGAACCTTTAAGCAGAAAAAACGTTGACTTCTTTTTCACCGAAGCTCTATGCCTATCACAAATACAAAACAGCTAAATGAAAAGTTTCTTCGAAGATTGTATTATTGCCATAGAAAATAATCCGCGCATGAGTTTCGTAACGATATTTCATCGAATATGAAAGTTTTCATACAAAGACTTGACTTTCATGGTTCAGTTTCTATGGCAGCTGTATGCTATAGTGTTCTGATTTCAAAATGTTTCTTATATGTCATATTGCTTCCTTTGAGTGTATTTTAAGCCAATTGTCGTGACGATATCTCGACGAAAAAAAAAAATTTTATTAGGACTTGAGTTTGATCGTGCAATTTGTATGGTAGCCATATACTATGGTGATAAGATATTAGCAGTTTCGATATATGAGCAACTTTTTGCACAGATAAGGACGTGTACAAATTTTCAGATTGTTATCTTAAAACTTAAGGACTATCGGCAGAAGTATAGCAAAATAGACTCAAATCCCCACGGTGATCACTTATATTTAGATACATATTATATGGTCCCCAACGTTTTCTTCTCAGTGTTATGAACCTCGTGGCAAACTCAATACACTTTGTTTATGGTATACAAATAGTCTTGGGTTCATATGACCACTCATCAGCATATGACTCAGCTTAAATGGTTAATTAGAATTTCGAACGAATTTTCGGTTAAAAAAGCTTTTCTAACTCTTTGAAAATAATTCAATACATTTATTGAGGACTGATTTTAATATCATTGTAATTTATAAACAAAAATAGGTGTCGGGTCCTTATGACCTAGCAACATCATCTAAGGGTTAATTGAAATTTTTCATGAACCTTAGATCGAAACGATTAAAAATAATTTAAAACTAATTTTTACCGCACAAAAATTGTTTTGAACCAAATTTTACAAAATTTTTAAATCTTATATTAATTAAATTTGGTCAAAAATTTCAAATTACAGGTTCACAAGCATGAAGTTGGTTTAGTTGGTTGAAGGTTTAGGGAAAAAAACATATTTCCGGAACTGATATTTTATCTTATTTTTAATTCTAGTTCAAGCAAACATGTTTCTACAATTTTATAAGCTTATAAATAAGTTAAGATTTTAAAAAACTGTATTTCGAAAATTGCTCTAAAATATACACAGCAAAAAAAGTTTCAAAGTTTCTTAAAAATTGTTTCAACGATTGATCAAAATGCCAAAAATATATAAAATTTCTTAATCATTATATTGAATTATTGTCATATATTTTATCTAAAATTTTAGTAACTTTAATTTTCGAAACTCAAAAAAGTTAAAAAAAACCAAATTCTTCAAAATCCTCTATATTTTTTTTCAGTTGTTTTTGATTTTATATAAAAACACTTTTTTTCATTTAATTTCAAATTTAAAATTCTGAAAGGTCTTTAATAATTTCTTCTCTTTTTATATAAAAATATTTCCTTTTTAAATTAATTTTACATATTTTATGCTACACATTTTTTTTTTTGTGTATTTTCGCAGGTAAAATTTTGGTTTACTTTAAATATTGCTTATAATATACTGAATTTCTTTTAGATAGATTTTAAAAATTTCAAATTTAATTTGTATTACCAGATTTTCTTATATATTTTAATAGTTCATGCTAAATAATTTTATTTGGAGAAAATTTTTCACTTCTTTATTTTTTGTAAACAAATTTTTATTTGAAAACAATTAAGTATTATAAGAAGTAAAATTTTATTTTTGAAACAATTTTGAATTTGATAATTTCTTTAATTTTATTTTCGTAATTCAAAAATATTTTTAAGAATTTTTTAATAACGTATAATAAGTTTTTCAATATAATAACATATTATAATATTTTTGAGATAACGCAATATTAAAAATAAAAATGGCTAAACTAGCGTGGAAATTTTTTCTCTGTTTTGATCATAAATTTTATAATAAATATTTTTTTTAAGTAAAATGAAGTAAAATTTTTTTTGAAGAATAATATATATTTTAACAAATCTTAATATTTAACACAAAAGACTTCAAAGTCAAAGTTCTACCGACACCGTTAACACGATTTTCAAAATGCACTCAATTTCTTAGCCAAGCTTCACTTAAAACTAAATATACTCAAAAATCACTCATTTTACTATGCTCCGTTTCATAAGTTCATAAATTATCTATACGAAAATCAATCAACTTGATTTAAAAGAAAATTTTGAATATTTTACGAATTCCCTGTTTCATATGTTCATAAATTCTTTTCATAAATAATACAATTGAGTGAATTGTTCCAAGCATTCTCTGAACATTTTACTAATTCACAAACATTTGTATATACTTTTAGCGTGCTTTTAAAACGGTTCTATTTTCCAGTTCTTGATTTTTCAAGAAATCAAAGCACTAAGAGTCCACATTTTATATATTTTACTGTATTTATACCTTCATTTTCACTCGAGAGAAATGCTTTTTTTTTCGTTCACAAAGAAGAGCACGCAACGAACCCGAACGTTCTGATTGAATCGATTTGAATCGTAGCTACACGCACACACGGAGTACTTCGCGTTCTTAAGAGCTCACACCGCCAATTGCAAGAAATTGCTGGTAACGTTTCGAATCGTTTGCTAGAAACCGTTGAACTGATGCCTACCACCAATGACCAAAACCATTTATATACGCTGCTAGGCCCCGAAAAGCCCACCGATCGCCCCAGACAGAGTTGCAGTCGCCAGATGCTGAGCGGCAGCACACAGCCACGGCAGTTAACAGTAATGGCAACAAAAGCAAAAGTGCACGCAGCCGAAAACATATGAATGAACCGAAATGCTAAAGAAGCAAATGTGCAGAAGAAGAAGAAGAAGAAGCAGAAGAAGCCGACAGCAGAGAGCGATCCGGCGATAAGCTGCCTGCAAACGCGGCGGTGTTGCCGACAACAACAACAACAGCGTGAGCTACTGCAGCATGCAAGTCGCCTTTGAATAAACCTACGTAAGTACTCGCAGCGAAGTCACGGAGCAGATCGGTTTCGCGTTGAAATCAATCGCGTCGTCGCACGGCAAAGGTGCGCCCAGGTGGCTGGCAATTGACAAGACGCAGCCAGCCGGCTTAGTTGGCGTTTGTGGCAGGTTTACTATGTATATGCCCAAGTTGTTTGCGGTGTGTGATGCAGTTGTTAACAGCAATAAACATATAATATTGTTGTTGTTGTTTACATTTCTGTTGCTTTTATTGCTGTTATTGTCAGCATATGAGTTTCATTAAAGCCATTGCATTTCTGTGTTATGCATGAACGCGTTCACTTGCTGGTGACACATGTGTGTGTGTATGTATGTAGGCGCAAATTTGAATGTTGTTGCTGTTGTTATTTATAACGTTGGTTTTGCTTTTTGCTCGCACAGAATTAGGTGGCTGTGAGCCTAAATGCGGCGAGAATTGGGCTATCCTATTACAATAGCGCCAAAAATGCGCTTTTAAATTCGTTTTCTTCGTTCGTGTGTTGCGGATATTTCCATGTGTGCGTTCGTGTGCATATGTGTTTGTATTTACATCTATTATGTACTCCCATATGAGCAATTTACGGCAAAGAACTTTGGTAGGCGTTGGTGCACTCGGTTTTTGGAGTTGAATTCGATTGTTAGGCACTTTTTGGGGTTGTTGTTGTTTTTGTTATTTAACGGTGACTTTCGATTATTTAATAAAGTTTTTTGTGCCACTAATTGAAAAGCCGTAAAACTGAAAGTGACTTTACGCGGCAAGGTGATGTTTTGTTCTTCACACAATGCTGAGGTAGGTAATGAAAATCTATAAAAGTGATATATATGCCCAAACATAGATATGTATGTGTATATACAACTGTAGGAATGTAATGACTGACCTGACCTAAATGTTTCGAAATGTGTAATAAGTTCGAGACAAAAGGTTAGGCTTTGTATAATTTACTAGATTTATGTCAGTTGGTACTTTCTAGTCAAAAAATATTTGACATTTTATTTTTTATAAATCTATTATTTATCATTAAAGCATGAATATCATTATGCAATACACATCGATAAATCAAAATATTTACACAAGTTATTTAAATATTGCCTAAAATATCGCTTAAAGCTGTTACATCTGGTGGTAAGTCAGACAATTTTTACTATAGATGAACACCCTCCTAAATATTATACAAGTAATTTTGTTTGAAAATTTACACTTCGAAGTAATTTAAAAAACCTAAAATTATTATCAAAAATCTAATCCTTTAGAAAGTTACTTGGACAATATAAGATCGCTCCAACCATTTCTGGAAAATTTTGTTCACTGACTCTGATCAAAGCATTTCCATAAAAATGACTTAAAAGCTCTTGCAAGTCGAAGTATTTTCTATATCTATTTGACTCAATTTTGGAGAGAATATGCTAAAACATATTTCTCCAAAAACTAAAATCGTTTTTTTTTAATTCACAAGTGAATATATCGCCTTAAAGTCCACCTGATGGATGGACACTGATTTACTCGTTCAATCGCAGACATCCTAAAGTCTTGCTCCTCCTCCTCATGGACTTCATAATGGAACTCTGTCTGGTATCGGAAACGATCAAAACTGGTCAAACAGAGCTCATTAGTCTATCAGATTAGCCAAACCTAACCTAACTGATGATCTAAGTAGAGGTACTTTCTTCAATAGCCTTGTTTTTGACAGATCCAGCGTGAGTCTTGTCAAGCTGTCATGTTGTTTTTGTTCAGTATTGGTTGTCGTTTCATCATGGAAATACTTATACTTGAACAACGTTTACAAACCGTTGAACTTTATTACGAAATTTCAAAAGATAGCAGCCGTAGCTGGAAGTGTACACGAAGACTGTGGAGAGTCAATTCGGCGTCGTTCGCACTAACTCGGAATGACGCATGAAGCGACTTGGCGCATTTTACGTCGAAATCTGGTGCAAGAACTGAAGCCTAAGCCTTTTATGCCGACATCGTTTCGTTCTATTGGCTCTTCAAAAATTCCAAGAATATCCGATCCATTTCTGGCTCAATGTAAATGCATTTGGGACGAAGAGCAACCTGAAAAGATTCATGACCTGCCATTTCAACAAGAAAAAAGGGTTTGGTGTGGTTTGTGGGCCCGTAGAATTCTCGGTCTGCATTTCTTGACATGCATGAAAAATGATAGCGATGAAAACATAACATAATAAAATGTATGTCTCGTGATAACAGAGACATTGGGTTTCAACACTACGGCGCCACTTACGACACATCGCATTAATTAATGGATTTATTGGGAGAACACTTCGGTGTGCAGATAATTTCACGTTTTGACCATCAAGATCGTGTGATATACCTAACACCGTTAGATTTTTTTTCAGTGGGTGTAAAGTTTAAAGTGTATGTTGGCAAAACCGCTCCGATTCAGGCCTCGAAGCAAAACATACGCATGCCATTCGCCAGTTACCAGTCGAAATGTTCAGACGAGTCATCGAAAATTGAGTCAACGGATGGCGACCAACATTTTAAAGAGAAAACCAAAAAATTCCAAAGAATGTTCTTTCGAATGATAATAAGCATTCCGCATTAAATTTGAAGTTTCTGTGTTTTTCCTTTAAGAAAAACGTAGGGAACCTCGAAATGGATCTATTCTTTTTGCTTTGTTAAGATAACATGCTACAATTATTAATAATGCTTTCAATAATCTTACTTTTGAAGGTAAATATTTCGGGTTTGAAAGCTAACTTCAAGAAACGGAGCAATGTTTTTTTTTCCTATGCCTTTAAAAAATTTGTAATTTTTCTAATAACCTAAAAAACGTTGATTTCGCATAGTATAACAATTAATATATATATTATACATTATTGAGATCTTATTTTATTTTTTAACCAGCATAACTCTATAAGTGTGTGGAATTTTAATTTAATATCTGTTATCTACAACGCCCTTTCAACTAAATTAAAAAAGGTATATTATTTTTCAAATAAAGCTGCTTGCAGATTACATTACATTACCAAGCCAATCAATTACTAGCAGCGTTTCCGCCAACGCGTGCATACAAATCATAGAACTCTTATGCTACGTGCCACATACCGATGTGTATTTTCACGGAAGAATATAAAATAATAAAAATGTAAATAACGCTGAGTCATTCAGCGTTCATTGTATTATGAAGGTGTTCCGAATTGCATCGATTTTTAATCAAACTTAATCAATCATGAGAAAGTTCATACTCACACACCTCAGCTTTGATACAATTTATGTTCGAGTACTCTCAGAAAAGTAGTTTGCGAATGGCTGCATATCGATTTAGGGAAAAATTAAATAGTTAGTCAAAATACTATCTATTATTAACTAATAACGAGGTTACAACAGCGCACCAGTTGTTCTTTCTTTTCGCTGTTTGGCACCAAACGAAGCCAGGTCCTTCTCCACTTGGTCTATCCAACGGAGTGGAGGTATTTCGCTTCCTTTGCTTCCCCTGCGTCGAATATTTTCCGTTCTGTAGTGTTTTCATTTATTGGGACGACATGACACTGTTTCTTAAGTCGCTGAACTATGTCAATGTCGTCGAATATCTCGCTCATCATTCCATCGACTACGGAATTGGGGCTTTGTTCGTCGATAGAGGAGTTTACTTCTAAATTGCCTACTCAGTCCGATGTAGCATCTGCTGGCAAGAGTTATTCTCCGTTGGATATTGGGGCTGACATGTTTTTAGTGTCAATACTGGTTTCAAGATACATGAAGTTATCTATAACTCTTATGGGAGTCAAAAGTGATGTGTTAGCCAAATCACGAGTGTGACGTCTGTTCAGTTCTGCAGCTTGAATTATTTTCTCCAAGAGTATATTGAAGAAGTCACACAAAAGGGAGTCGCCTTATCTGAAACCTCGTATGGTATCGAACGGCTCGGAGAAGTCTTTCCAGATCCTGATGGAGCTTTTTGTGGTGCTCATCGTCAGTTTACACAGCCGTATTAGTTTGCCGGGAATAACAAATTCAGACATGGAAGCATATAGGCAGCTTCTTTTCGTGCTGTTAAAGGCAGCTTTGAAATTTTCGTCGATCCTCTGCTCTTCAAAAGCATAAAATTCGATGCGTGTCGGTCCTCTTTTTACGGCTCTTTGCCAAGATTTGGCGCATGGAGATTCGGTTGTTGATTTTCCAAGTCTAAACCTCACTGAAAAGGTCCACTCAGTTTGCTGACGAATGGCTTCAGTCTTTCACACAGTACACTCGATAGAAAGTTATACGTGATGTTTAGGAGACTTATCCCACGGTAGTTCGCGCAGATTGTAGGGTTTTCCTTTTTGTGGATTGATCTTCGCCACCGTGTTTGAATAACTCGGCCGGCTATCAATCGACCCCCCCGCTTTGTTATTCGTCAGACAGTTAACTGCTTTTCAAACTACCTTATGGTCGGATGATGGCACGTCTGTTCCATCGTCATCGATTGGGGAATCGGGTTTACCGTCTCCTGGCGTTATATTTTCAATGCCATTGAGCAGGCTTGGAGAAGTGATAGCTCCATACTTTCAGTATGTTCTGGGCATCAGTCCCCAATCACCTTTGGACATTCCAAAAGAGTATGCTAATGTCTTGAAGCCTTCTGTTAGTTCCTGCATCTTTTCGTAGAATTTTCGAGCCGTACTTCTATCGGCC